CAAGTGAAGCTCCCTCTGTTTCGTCTCCTAGCAGTGTTTTGGCCGTCTTGTGCGCAGCACAAAAGGGGCCTAAGGCCCTAAGGCTGGCCTGTTTCCATCCTCGCCTTGATTTCCTGCCAAATATGCATGATTTGAAGGGTGCAAAGCTGACACTTTACGCTGACAGGTGAGTATCAATGCGCCTGCACCATTCCTTTCCAGTCGTATTCCAGCTCTTTTTCATCATCTTGGAAGGCAAGACTTCTGGACTCACTCTCATCCAAGTGCCAACTTGTTTCCGACTTTGGGTTTTGAAAGCCAATGTGGGCCATCCAAGACATTTCGCTTCTGTGGGCCGACGAACCCGCAGACATCGAAGTCTGAAGAGCCCGCTTTGCTAAGTGCCAGTCTGAAGTCCATTCGCTTGCTGCGGAGCATGAGCTCCGGCAAAATCGCATCCTGCAAATGGGAGTGATTTGGGCCGGCGTTACGTTTGTTGACATGCTCGCTATTAGAGTCCATGGCTCTTAGGTTGGAGGCCATCGCCATGCTGGAATCCTGGGAACTGACAGCGAGAAGCAACAGGCGGTCACTTCCTGGTTGAAGGTGAAGATCTGGTCGCGCAAAGGAAGCTTTTCAGATGAAAAGAGCATCCCGTGCAACCTGCAAGTGGTTCCCTAGACACTGGATGTGCATTTAGTTGTACAAGTAAAGGTAACTCGGGTCCCTGATTCTGAGGCTGTAAGGTGGTAAATGGAAAACATATGAAAACATGCAAAAGGTGCGGATATCCGGTTAAGGCTAAGGGCCCTGCAAGGTCCCAAGTATTTCAATTTCAACAACTCTACCAAAATGTTCCCCCGGAGCATTTTGCATGGTCAGCCCGTGCCTGCCAAAGAACTCTGCGACACAACTGCTCCTTGGCGAGAGCCACTGGACGAATGACTAAGCTGGGACGAGTGCCAAGTAGGGAATTAAAATTATCTCCATCCAATAGCTATGACCCCGCTATTGCATGTTTCTGGTGTCACCAATGACCCGCAAAACATGTCAGTCAGGAGCTCACCCAGAGGTGCAGCGCACACGCTCCCGCAAAGGTAGAGGTACACTGGCCTCAGCGAAGAACCAACTCTTCCCTGCTCGTGAAGCAGATGCTGCAGAAATGAACCTAAGAGCGTTTGATGAGCTTGAGGCTTCACTAGATACTGCATTGAGCTCATTCAGAAGCAAGCGCCAAGCCTGGCAACACTGATATTGATATAACTTAACATAACATGTCTGATTGATGAAAAACGAATTCAATCGGTCTGAAATGGAGGCATCATGTTGGCATCGTCTGAATTGTCTACGTCGCATGTTAAAAAGATGTAAGAAATTACTCGTTTTACTTAGGACGCAGGATAGCTCACGTACTATTCATTGGCCAAATTAACATCAGCAAGCGCTGCCTCGTCGTCAAAGCCAACGGCCTTCTGCAATCTTGGCAGCACAGTTGCGCCTTCAAATAGCATGCACAAGAGTTCAAACATTCAGAGTCTGGAGGATCTGAATAGTAGCGATGGCCTCCACCCTAGTAGCGATGGCCTCCACCCTAGTAGAGTCCGGAGGATCTGAATGTTGTAAAGCCAACAGCAAATCCATGGAAATCCATCCGTGTCGAAAGAAAACAGGATCGGATTGACATGTTTTTTTTTTTTTGCAGACAGCCGTTTGACCCACCAAACACTACGGTCTTGACCCGAACGCCTGGCGATCCAGCCACCGGATCCGACACAAGGTCCTGTCGGATCATGTCGTTTCCTGGAGCTCCTAGTAGCTTCTCTGTTCCTAGTAGTAAGGCCAGGAGCCCCTAGTAGCGTCCTTGCTCCTAGTAGCGATGCCCTTTGCTCCTAGTAGCGTCCTCTACCTGGCGTCTAGACACTTCAGATTGGTGGCCATGCGTTGCACTGGAGGTGTCATCTTCGGTTGGAGCAGTCTCGCTGGCCAAGTCATGAAAGAACATTGAAAAGCAAACCCGACGTCCGAAGGCTCAAGAACAAACATGCACCTGTGAATTCTGGAAGTACAAATCAGATCGAGGACCTAAGACCTAAGGCCTTAGTTAAATACACTTAAAATCTAACATACTTTAAAGTCATTTAAATACCTTCCGTTAAAGTAAGGCATTGTAGACCTAAGGCAACAGGAAAACAGGCAAAGTATGGAAAAAATTATAAAAGATGTGAATAGAACTGGTTCGTCGGACATCTTCAGCCATCCGCAATGTGCCACACGCGGGGCACGGTCCAGACGTAGTTGAAGTCGTGCAAGCACCTAAAAGACAAAATGTAGGTGGTTGAAAAAACAAACAAACAAACAAGTTCTTTCAGCGGTTTGTTCCTTGCTGAAAAGTGCCATGACATGCCATGACTGCAAAGCACTTTGCTTGAACCAGCCAATGACGACGGTCTTGCGCCTGCCACAAGGGCCACTGAGATGCCCATGCCTGAGGTCAGCAATGTCTTGGCATTGGAAAGTTTCAGGTCCATTCCACTGACTTAGAATGAAAAGACAACGGGAAGGACCAAAAACATCTAAAAACCACCTGCCTCCCTACCTGCCCCATCACCAGAAGCAAATGCCGCCACCTTGCATCGCGTGCTGTGCGCTGCAGTACTGGTGCAAAGAGTTACGAAAGGATCCTGGGCTACAGTGAACTGCAAAAGCTGCGAAAGGCTAGAGTCTAGAGTGATCTCGAGTGCGCTGCATGATTGACCATTTCCCCCACCGAACGAGAACGCTCGGGATGACATCCATCATTCCCAGGCTTCGACAGGCCTCCATGTTGGCCTGCTTCACGAGTTCTGGAGCATAGCTGTGCATTGTGCTGCTGTTTCCTGGACAGCTGTCGATCACGACTGCACACATAAGACTGATGGACGAAAATACCTGGAAATACCCTCAAACTACATCAAAATATATCAAAATACCCTCAAACTACCTGCAATCCCAATGGAAATGGGGATTCGATGGGCGCATGGTTGCCAGGTGGTCTCATAGTTATCCGTGTCGAGTTGCCCAACAAACGGAAGGCAGTGGCAAGCAGGCCCACTGCCCGTGCAAAGGGGCAAAGCAATGACTTGTCGTGCAGCTTGATGAGAGGCGTGCACCATCGCACATGCGAGACTTCACCAGACTCCGTTAGAAGTGGATCTCCATGTTGAAGTTGGTGAAGCATTTTAGAAGAGATGCCGGCACAAACCTGGTGAGCAGCACAAGCATTAAAAGGCTCTTCTGGAATGTCTCCAATAGCAAGGCCTCCCAAGCTACGGTTTGGATGCTTTGTCCAATAGCAGTGGTAGGCAGCTGCTTCATCCTTGCGGGAGCTCCCCCGCAGTTCAGCTAAGGATTCTTCGATGTGATCCAACTCACCAACTGAGACGTGGGGATCTAACTGGCGCCAATGAGCCCCCAGAAGCTCTCTGGCATGCCGCATTGCTCCAGACTCCGCTTTGTCACATGCAGACTCCAACTTCTTTACTGAGTGGAAGATCGAACGACCGTGAAGACCAGACACATTGGCCCCCTCAAAATCCAAGTAAGGAGAAGCCCATCGGGATAGGATGCCAAATAACTGAAAAACTGGCCAACCGCTGTGCAGGATCTCCGCCCAGGGCACTGTCAGGGCGGAAGCAGCAAGAGCTGCGCTCGCATCGACAGCAAAACGTGATTCGACGGTGATGGCTAGCCTTGGTTGCGTGATTGGGGCAGACTGAGAGGCAGTTTGAACATGGCTGGATGAGTGGGAAGAAAACAATTGCATCTGCATCCGTTTGTGTTGCTCATCCTACCTGTCCAGAAAACAAGAAAGAGAAAAAGCCTTCTGCACGGGTAGGACAGAAGTGCCTTCAGTGCGTTTTTCAGGACAGAATCTCTGCCAAGGTGCATCACAAAAAGAAGCTTGGCACTGAGCAGGCCAGATAAACAAAAGCTCCATGCGTGGCCTTCCCTCCAAGGCAAAGGTACCTGCAGGTCGCAGTCCAAAGTTCTTTCCAACACCAGTCATCTGTTTGCGGCCACATCAAACACAGGAGAAATGGAAACTAGGGAGAACTGCACATCACTAGATAGCCCTTCTTTTATCTTTGTACTGACGTGATGTGATAGATTCGATCGCAGGAGGAATCCCAGACTTTCTCTACATGTGCCTGTGGTTGAAGTAGAGCACTTGAAAACTCCAGCTTTTCAACCACATCCTTGTGTATGCTGTCCACCGACTCGAGATCTGATGCGATATGAACCTGGCTATCAACTGAAGGCCGCACAAAAGCTTTTTGCAGGGCTTACTACACTCACCTAACCCACTTGTCGTGAGCAGCCTGTCCCACTGGTGTCCTGACAAATTTATGCAGTGAAAACTAGGCATGTAAAGTCTTCACATAGCATTAGTTCAGATTTGTCGTATGCAAATAGGCAGGCCCCCCAGCCCCGAGCCCCATGGGTTTTAGTTTATGTGTGTCCTTTCCGGGGGGGATACGCGCTGGCAAGGGTCGAAACTCAGCCGGCCCGAATAGCGGGGGAGCAAGTCCCGCAGCTGCAGGCGGACGGACTCCCAGATTTGCACCTCATCTTCCCTACAGGAGAAATCCAGTTCAGCTGTCGCTGCAACAAGAAAGAGCCATGGCCACCACCCCATTTCGCATGGTCCGATGGACTGGATCGGCGGAGAGAAATAGTGCGCTATACAATAAGTATCATAACGTATATACGGGACATGTCTGGGATGCATGTGCATGTGATGTCATGTTGCGTGACTTGAAACCAAAACAGGGCTGTATAGAGTTGCAACATGTTGCAACTCATGTCTGCACTCGAAGGACCATGAAGTACTGTGTCACACCAAGGACTGGACTTGAAGCTTCACGCTCGTGAAAGGGCTGAACTTTCAGTCATGGAAAGCAAAGCATCAAGAGCCCTAGGAAAAGCATCAGCAAAGCCCTCCCTCGCATCGCTCAGAGATGCTGTGACTCTGTTCAGATGGCCTCAAAAGACTCCTTCCGCACCATCATGAGGCATCCCTCAGAAACATGGCTCGCTTTCAATGAACAGCGGATGTGGTACCTCACAAACGCTTGCAAATGTGCAAGAAAATGATGTGTATAAAGCTGGCAAAGACATGGCGCACAGTTCACCAAAGAGTGGCTGAAAGAATTTCAGGTAGGTGAAGTACGTGCATTCCTGTCAGAAATCTCAAAACTGTGGTCCCACTTCTACCTGGTGCAGCATGGCACACGGCTTGCCGGCCCTGGTCCAACCGTCCCACCAAACCGTTCTCCTGCAAGAGCACGATGTCACCATCCAACCGGTGGACTTCTCGACCTCGAACGATTGTCGACACCAGACTCGGACGTCGAGATGCGGTCCGCACCTATCAGAGGTTGTCGATATGCATAATCAAGGACTTGGGAGGGGCAATATGGATACCTGGCGCACAACCAAGGCGTACAAAGAAAGAAAGAAACATGTCAATGGTCCAAAATGATCAAAAGCCGCGTCTAACTATGACAAGCCTTTGATTTTTGCTGGGCACATGATCTGTGTGGCCAGCTGCGTTCTTGCGTATGGGACAGCAAGAATATTGAAGCTAACCTCGTGCGGTACAATTCTGCTCCAAAACCTCACTATGTTGTAATTACAAAAAGCAGCAAAATCTGCAAAGCTGACCTCCCGATGGTTTTTGAGCTTTTACACACTGTCATCGTATGCATACTACACTTATTTGATGGAATGCCTGCTCAGCCGAGCACCAGACCACCCGGATTTGGCCTGGATCTCGCGGACCAAAGGCACTGACTCTGGAGTCAGGCCATCCCTGTGGAACCTGTGAAACCATTTTGGTTCGGGCGAAAAAGCCTAAAGATTGGAATCACTAGCACAAGATTGGATGGAATCACTAGCACAAGCCAGCGCACAAAGGTAACCAATTTTCTAGCAGCATCGAAGTACAACAACGCTAACACGTTCAAGCTGGAATTTGTATTCAGCTTTGCAGCGCCTGCCTGGCTGGTTGACATTTTGTCATCTAGCCCGTGGGCGGTGGTGGAACAGTCTCCACACCAGAAAGAGTTTGCAGTGTTGAGCTGTCCAACGAGTATTCTCGAGACAGGCTCTAGACGGCTCTCATTACACAGAAAATAAAGAACTATATAACTTGGTGAAATGATCGTGCGGGTCAGTCAGTGACCGGCTGCAGGGTTGCGGAATGAACAATGTCTGCCCAAGTCTTTGAAGCAGAACTTCAGTAAGGCTCTGCCTCAGCAGCAGACTTGGGTAAACGGTGCAATTGCTTCGCTGCCAGGCACAGTGAAACAGTGACTTTTTCCGCTGGTTTGTGCCCATGGTCTATAGTTGGATGTCCAGAGGGCATTCGACCTCTTTTTGATCCAATACTGACAGGAAAAATACCTGTTGTTTCCCAGCAATGCAATTGGCCCAATTGGCAGAGTTCGGTCCATTCACGGGTCTTGCTCTGCAGCCAGAAAAAATATGAATGCCCAACGTGAGTTGTTGTTTCCCAAGCTCGCCGGCCTGCTCCTGCTAGGCTTGGTCGCTTTGCAAATACAGCCTTCCCAAGCGATGGAATGTATTGCCATGTCAACAAAAACTTTAATACGACAGAGAGAGAGAGAGAGAGACAGGGAGGAACAAAAAGAAAAAATATCAATATTATTGTTATTATTTAGTATTTGAGGGACTGTTTGATAAAGGAAAGCACATGGCCTGCCCTTGATGATCAAGTACATCAGAGCCTTCACGGCGAAAACGCATCTTCCAGAAGCTAGACCTGAAGAAAAAACAGCGCCAGTGCAACAGGTGCACGCAAAACGTGATCATCCTTCGAGCCTGCAGGGGTATATGTAGATGTGTCAACCCATTTCATCCCGTTACATCCAAAAAGGCCCGACATGAAGTGGTTTCCTTATCGATTCTTTTGGTCTTTCGACCAACACCACCGGAACCAGTTCCATCAGGTCTTCTTTGCCATCGGCCTCCTCGCTTTGGTCGCAGATACCTTCGGGAACCACGCATCCCGAGCGGTGAGCAAAGCGGCAGGGTGTGGCCTCGTTTCACGCTTCGAAGACGGAGCCTTACGAAACAGCAACGATTTAGCTCACCAAACGTTTTCGCTCGCAGAAAGGCTGTATATATATATATACATATAGAGGGCTTACTTAAAACAGTAGTACGACATGTACCAGTCTACTTTTGTATGCACTTTACGTGGTTAATTTTTGCGCGAAAAAATGCGTTCGTTGGCGCCATGCTTTGTCGGCTTTACATACGACACTGTGGAATTTCGATTTCAGAGCTGTCCTCTTTTTTCCGAAGATTCGTCGTGCATCTGCATGTTGGTCATGAAGCACTCCTTTCCCAGTCGGTCACTGTCTTAAGTAAACCATAGTAAGCCGTAAACCTTCTTCCTCGTCTCCACGCCGAGACGCCGAACGTGCCAGCCCAGATTCCCTGAGATCAACTTTCTACAGGGCGCCGTAACGCATCAGCCTGTGAGAGCTTCTCCCCACTGTGCGTAGGGCTTTTTGCCTACGCTTGTTCACATCCATAGCACCACAACAAGGTGACTTCTCCTTAATCTTGTCGCGCAGTGATTGGCTTCGGCGAACAGCAAGCGCCAGATGCCAGATCGCAGTGGGCACTCCGGACCTCAACAGCAAACTCCACATCGCAGCGAGCACTACCGGACTTCATCGCAGTGGGCACCACCAGACCTCAACAGCAAGCACACTGCATACACAACCACAAAGGCAACCACAAACACAACCCCACACACAACCGCAAACAAAACCGCAAACAAAGCCACATAGACAACCACAAAACACAACCACAAGCACCACCAATAGTCCGGGCTGTCCGAAATTGCGCCCCAAAATAGTGCCTGTATAAAGGATCCTCGATCATGTTTACAAAATCTTACATATAGTTGCAAGACTCAGGTAGATCCACCATTCATTGTCGATCTATAGACCGACTTGTAACCGCCAACGGCTCCCAGCGCTACTTGTTGACATCAGTTCCGGACAAGCTACGGTTTCTCCTTGATGCTATGCAACAGTTCGAGCAAGTCATCCATATCGTCTCCTTGCTCCAAGAGCAAACTCCTGGCAAGCTCCGTGCAGTGCTCACATCCCAGCAACTGAGCCATCCTCAAGCTCAACCTCAACCCTTGTGTTTTCAGAACAGAGTCCAAAGCACCCTATCATCCAACTCTCTTCAGGGTGATATTCCACAGCTTCTCCGTAGCTCTAAAATAGGCGCACTCAGCTCTTCAAAGGCCCGCACCCGATGTGGTCAAGGATAGCGAGGCTAAGAGCCAGCATCGATTCAAGGTGGCCCTCCTCAAGACTTCTGAGCAGCAGAACCTTTCAGGGAAGCCAAAATCCTCTAGCGGCAACAAGTGGTGGATTTCGGGCGTTGTTATCACTCAAGCAAATTCTGCCCTGGTGTGTCCAAGTATCATCTTCCTTTACTGATTCAACCAAGGCTTTGATACCATCTTGTTGGCGTGTGACTCGACACCCACATGACATCAGTATCATTCTCCGACCCTCGTGGCTAGTGGCAGCCAACAGCTGAAGAGACCCAGCCATGCGCCCGGCAGATACATCTCCGGCTCAACCCCGTTCCTGCAAGCTGAGTTGCAAGTGCGGCAATGCTACTTATGGTGATAAGACTCTTGCAAAAGCCACAAATCTCCGCAAACTGTCCATTCTGAAGCGTTGCACTGTTTCCAAAAGCTCCTTTTCAAATGTTGAAACCAGGGCCGATCTGTTGCCAATGTCTCGAAAGTGCAAATCCCTTGCTGAAGCAACGGAAAGCCTAGCGGAAGCAAAGCAAAGCCCAGGCTCTCAATTGAAGAGGCCCAGGCGCCTTCTTCCCAAAGACCACGAAGACTTTGAATGAAGGCATGAAACCGGAAGAATGCCTGGCGAAACAACGGAGCAAATGACGCACAAAAATATGTACAGGGATGCAGATCTGATCGGCCTCTGCTTGAGTTTGTGAGGCAACTGCAAACAGCACAGCCTTGAGCGGCCCCCCAGTCCCCACCGGTCCCCACCAGGCACCCTAAAACTCAAAGGACCTCGGATGTGTTTGACGAACTGAGCAATTGGCAACCATATTCATTCCTTGGCAATATCCAAGCTCAGGGTCCTTGCATCTCTTAAGAAACTCTCTGGGAACGATACACAAGTCGAACCCCCGAACCACCCCATGTCCTCGGCGGCTTGCCTGTCAGGCAATTGGACTTCCAGATCGAAACCCCAGCAGCGAATTCCCATGCGCTGCCTATTCCAGAACATGAATGGAGTCCTCTTACTGTACTGTAGTCTCTCAGTTTCATTTACCTATGACTCAGCCTATGACCTATACATGCAGTACAGCCTCTATAGTCAAGGGCCTCAGAAGCAAAGCTCGAGCAATGCCAAGACAGGATTCAAGCTCAGCATCTCCGCAGGCAGTGCGAGGTCTTGGCAATTTCAAAGATTTGAGGATGGGTCAAAGCCATGCAAAACGACAAACACTTGACGAATCCTGGGGTTCAAGTCAGAGGCCTGACTTTGCAAGGCCTTTGAACACACCTGCTTTCACTCTTAGGAAGGCTGAACAAGGCAAAGTTCTTGCCAGTAAGGCTAGCACATGTCAAGATCGATTTGCTCGATGGTTCTCAGAGAGACTGCCTGGGAAATGCACGACGCCCCCTTCCCAAATGCATCTTTGCCATACAGTGCAGCCTTGTCCTTGGAATAGCTGCGACGATGATTGAGAGTCATCTGCCTGCCCCATGATTTCCAAACAATTCCAGTGTTCAGGCAATGTTCCATGAATGTGCATGAATGTTCCACAAATGCCTGAAAGAGTGTGCTGCAATTACTCCTTTGGCAGCCATTCGAAAGCTCAGGCTTGATCCTTTGGGCCTGGGACGCTTCGACGACTGCTGCGACTGCGGACTGGCCGACTGTGCCGGCCTGGCGGCCAAGTGGGCCTCCTCCAAGCCGAGCTCGCAACAAAGAGTCCTACCAAACGACAAAATTCAGCTGAGTCCACCAAGATCGTTTCTGGAGAAAGAAAAAAAATAGAAACATTGGTCTTTTTCCTGTCTAGATTAGAAAATATAAACATCTAGAATCTAGAATTTAATGGATGCCAACACAAAAACTCCATGTCGCCAACTCTGATCTGAGACTCCTTCGGGAAAATTGCAGCTGCTCGTCCCAATCGATCGCAGGATCGTTCCTTATATTGTGCGAAACACTGATTCAATCTCACAAGCCAATAGTTGCCTGTTGTTGCTCTGAGTTTTCAACCAGGAGCTGCATTGCAATTCATTGCTGAACCAATATGGAAACCGTCCCTGCACGATCAATGCACTGAGACTGTGGCCCCACAGTCTACGGCCCATGAACATGGGATGTCCAGCCTCCTTGGACAGGAACGGCCCACGCCAGTTGGAGAGGTCCCTGGCCAAAGAAAGAATTCAGGTGCAAGGGAGGTTTGCTCCCAAGACACCACAATCATTGAAATTGTCAGTGCAACCATTGACACAACCAAAGCAGTTCTAAAAATTGGAACGGATCAATTATACCCGCATTGACAGCATGGACCCCAAACAGCTTAGTCGGCAAGAATTGTTGTTGCGGTGGTGGGCGGCCGCAGCCCCAGCCCTTGCCTCGGAGAGCAACGTAAACAGCGCGATAGCAGCAGGACAACAGAAAGACCAGAGGAGGACATGAGGGACAAAGGACGAGGGAAGGAAAACACAACGAACACACCAAGAGGGCAAAAGGACAAGCCGTGACCGGACAGCGCCAAAAGGACAACAGGACAACATGAGGGAGCACACCAGGAGAACAAGCGGAGTGAAGAAGACACCAAGAAAGCAATAGAAGAGCAGGACAGGCCCGACAAGATTGCAACAGGAGAAGAAGAGGACATCTGGACAGGGCTCGCCGGCGCGGCCTGACACTGTGGCCAGCTTCTTCCTACGAGAGAACATCGGCTTCCGGGGTTGCTTTCTGGAGTTGTCTTGCTAGTGCCTCACTGCTTTCTAGTGCACGCTCTCATGTTGTCAGGCTGCCACGTGGCCATGCTGCGGTACTCCGGTCTCTGCGCTTGCCGTCTGGCACTTTCCCGCTTGCCACACAAGGCTTGCACGTGTGCAATGGTGTTCTCGCATTGGACCCATTGATTGCGCTTGGGGACGGTGCTTCGAGCACACTGTCATCATGTCTACATGCTGCCATGCTGCCATCTGGACACCTGCAGAAGGACAACAAGGGAACAACAGGAGGACAAGAAGAGGACAACGGGAGGACAACAGAAGGACAATGTCCCGACACAGCATTGGGCGCGGCGCGGCCAGAGACTGTGGCCAGCTTCCTTTTTCCTAAGAAAGAACCCCAAGAGTAAAACTGTTTGGCCCACAACCCACAGCTGTTTCTTTTGATACGATTCTTCCCTTGAAACGCTATATGTTGCTATTTTATACTATGTTATGCTTTTTTTGTGTAACATGTTTTGTCGAAGCACCGAGCAAAGGGGCCCACGCCTTTGGGCGCGCTCATTCAGCTCTTGCATGAAGGATCGTGCAGCATTGGCACGTCGCTCGACGCTGTCGCGCACCTGGTCCAGGCCACCCATATACGCTCCGCCCGCTGTTGCGAGCGTGGGTCACTTGACAAAGACTTGGGAACGTGCTTCGTGACGGTGAGGTTCAGCTTGTCCATTGTATCAGAAAAGGATGGATGAAAAGAAACGCTATTGAACACCGCCTATCTTGTTGCAAAGCGGACAGCCAAGCCGCTTGGCTGCGCAACCCATCAGATGCGGAAGAAGCGTCATGTGTCAGGTTCGGTGGAAAAAGGCATGCTGGACTGGAAGTGCCAACAGCTATGTGGCCTCACCAGGATGCTCCCTTCGAGCTTTGGCTATGAGCTGTCGAAGTTCCTCGTGCAAGGCCTGCCATCAAAGCCAGGAACTAATCGAAACCGCCAGAAACTTGGAATGACAGTTGAGGATTGTATCGTTTGACTATCTTCAGTCATGGTCATTTTCAGTTGCGGACACAAATAAGGACTGGCATGCAACACGTACCAGTTCCGAATACGCACATCCACCATGCCTCTCGCGGATGGTGCCATGTGCTGGTTCCTCGCCTTGGGCCAAGAGTTCTCTAGACTTTAGATCTCAAAAGGAGAGCTAAAAGCAGCTTCTGCTTCTGGTGACGCTTTCAGTGAAGCATTTTGGTGGCTGCCATGGCAAACATATGTGAGCATATCTTCTTGATCCTGAAAGTCTTCAAGAGCGGTTGGTTGCTGGATCACTAGGTCTCTTTGCGAGGCATTGAAGTAAAAGGTACGCCTCAGGCATTGCCACTAACGAAACTTACTTGTTGGCTGAGCCGCAAGTGGCTCATCCATGAAGGACTGTGAATGTAAAGTTACACCCGAAAAGATCAACATGAAAGCTAAGACTGGAAGACTATTTTCCTTTACAACCAAGTGGTTTTCACGTCCCATGTGGATCTCTTCCAGGCGTAACAAGAAATGACGAGATCAATTCGACCAATGTTCTGAGATCACGGCCCTTTTGTGTCTCTGCACAACTCCCAGCCCTTGGGAAGATCTGCATTCCAGTCCTCCGGGACCCATTGCTAGTGGGATGCCCACGGCTTTGTCCAACCCTCATTTTAGTGAATGGAAGATCCACTTGCCAACTGCTTAATTCACAGTCTATCCAAGCGCCGAGGCGGCCGTCGTGTCATCTTCGGTCAGGCGCGACTTTCCCACATTAGCACACAAGCTCTCTCATGGTGTGGCCACATATCAGCAACTTCGACAAGCAAGAGTAGCATCGACTGCATAGAGTCTCATAGAGTATCATCTTTCTGCTGCCTTGACATTGTTCAAATCGTTCACCGCATCTTCGGTCATCAGGATTGTGCCCATCCCTGAAGATCAATTCTTCGAAAAAAATGGGCGACGAAGCGACCTCCGGCCCATCCCGCCTGGCTCGAAGAAAAAGAGCTTTGGGCTGGTCATCGGGCTCAAGGGAGCCGGCCGAAGAATTGAGCCTCCACTTCCTCACTTCGGCCGACGTGAATGCATCAGCTGAGTGCGTCTCAAATGGTTGGAACATGTGGATCATATGTGAACAGTTGGGAACATGAAGAGAACATTGGCGAAAGTAATGAAGTAATGCCTTTGTTACTAGTAGCGATGCCCTTGTTAGTAGTAGCAATGCCCTTGTTCCTTACTAGTCACACAAAGAAGAACATGCAAACAAAAGCCAGATCGAGCAAACTCACCTGTCTAGGCACCCAACACACCGAAGCTGAATGCTGCCCCTGACCTATGACCGCCCATTTGTCCTCCATTGGAAGGAGGCATACTGTCATGTTTGGTGGTGATGCCATGTCCATCTGAAACTGTCCCTTTCCAGCTTGAACTCTGGGTCAATTCACACGAGGTGCTGATGGACACAGGTGTTGCAGTGGTGCTTGTAGCTGTCTCTGGAGTCTTGGGTGATAGCCCTGGAACTTTCAGAAGCTGCATGGCCAAGTCCTGCAAGACCATTCTAGACCAATTTTATAGACATGTCTGCTTTGAGTGTGCGAACTCCGAAGTGCACTGTGCACAAGTCCTGGGCATGTCCTTGGATCACCGAGGAATGTGATTGCAGTTGCGGTGAATGGTTGAGTCAGTCAAGTCGCTTGTGGATCCAGGCGTTGCAGTGGTGCTTGCAGCTGTCTCCGGAGTCTTGGGTGATAGCCCTGGAACCTTCATCTTCTGCAAGGGCAAGTCCTGCAAACTGCTTTTCTATGCTTTCCTTCGATATATCTTACCATGTCTTTCAACGAGTCCTGAGCATGTGTCGCCGCATGTCCTTGGAGCAGAAGTCTGCACGAATACTGCATGGACTGTGTTGCTAGCAATGCGGTGAAGATGCTCTTGGGCGTTGAGCTTGTGCTTGCAGCCCTCTCTGTCGGGGACAGCCCCAGGCACGGCAAGCCCGGCAAATCACAATTGCAGAAGTCCTGCCGTGGCTTGGAAGCAACCAAATCTCAGCAGCAGGGTGGATTGGTGGGAAAAACTGCGATTGCATAAACAGCCAGTAGGCTACGAATGTAGCGCTACAACCCATCTTGAGCTGTCAAACTGTCAGTCCTGCATGCCTTCCGAGCGGGGTCAGCCGCAAGCATGAAGCCACTCTACCATGCAGTTATGAGTGGCTTTTGCTATTCCTACAGCTATATGCAAAATCAATAACACAGGTGTACTGACAAACGTATGTCGAAAGCATGTTAGTACAACGAAGAAGAGACGAACGTAGACCTGCAGAAAGAAAGTAAGTACGAACAAATCAAGGATCCCGATCAACAGTAGGGTGTGACTCGGTGTGACATAGTGCATTCATTCAAGACTTGAGCCTTAAGTGCGGCAAATACATCAAGCACTGGGTCTTTCCCCTGACTGAACTGCCAATTTCCTGCGGAAGCTGATGACCTATGCCCTTCAAATTGGAGGTTTCTCATCGTCAGTCGGAGAGTTGCCTCCTCCACGATGCCAACCCTCAAAGCTGCCTTGGATCGCCTCAACAATGGTGATCAGGACGAAATCAAGACGGACAACGTGAGCTACAGCCCTGATGTGGAAGAACCTGGATTGGTGGATAGTTTGATGGGCATTGTATGTCTAATCCCGACTTTGACAGATTCCCTACCCAGGGGCGAATGCAAGAAAGCAAACGCAAGGGCCACAAGGGTTGATTGAAAGGAAAGCGAAGACCTGCATGCGCTTCTGGGACCTGAAAGGCAGGACCTGAAAAGCATTGCAGAATATCATAGAATCTCCCTCAACATTGCTACCATCCCTGTATTTTATGATGCTCGCACGAGCCTCGGGTGAATCAGTCATCCCATCCCTGCATCCACCTCTCAGTTTCTGAGGAGTTGGACGAAGACACAGTGATGCTCTGGTCCGGCTCGGCTTCCAAGTTCAACGTTCGACCCTTGGACGCCTAAAAAGCTCGAACTTGGACGCGCACAACTGGCTCTTTCCGAATGGGCCCCCAAATGGGCTCCCTTTTGTAAGCCCGCTCTTACTTAATTAAGGAGGTAAGTAAGCTACTAGGCTAAGCTAGCTTCCTTGAAGAAGCACCCGGACTAATCATTTGGTTCTATATTTTTTGCAAACCTTAACAGAGCTCTGAAGACATTGAATGCCGTGTCGAAAGGTCGCTCGCTCTGAGCCTCTAAGCTCGCTGCCTTTGGGACCCAGAGGATGTTCCCCGTGCCAACTTCTATGCTGCCAGCAGCTCCAGCAGCGACCTTTCTAGACTTTGATGAGTTTTTCTCTGAAGCTGGCATCTAATTCAAATCATGTCAAGTCAAGGAGAGGAAGAAATAGACAAGCTCTCTCAGTTCGGCCTGCGTGTTCCAACGAAGCCTGACAGTCCCAAAAAAGAAGCAAGCACGCCACCGATTGACTGATACGACTAAATCTGGCTACCCCAGTGCTGATCAGAAAGCTACGGACATACTCTCCAAGTGTCCAATCATGTATTTCTCAGGGGTTCCATACATCCTCACAAAGCTAGCTTGAAAATGCTTGAACTCTGTGCCACAAGTTTCTTGTCAATGCACGTCACGACGAGCCAAGTTGGGCACTTGAAGGACGCTGGATCGCAGAATTCGCAGCGGAGGACAGCCTGAGAAAAATCACACTCTTGAGGTCTCATGGTTTTGTCACTCTTTAAATCTTTTATGTGTCCTTTCTCAAGTGTAAGCCCGCTCAACCCAGCAGGCAAAAGGGTGCAATCCGTTCAGAGGTAATTACTGTACGCACACGCTGAATTAACATCTTGCAAAACGACACCCAAGAACCCAAGCATGCCAAGTGAAACGGAATTTGGAGAGAGGGATTTTTACTGTCACGCCACTCCCCTTGGTGACGGCGTCTGTACTTCACCCCGAGATGTTTGAGGCCACCCACTTTGGCCTCCTACCTAATAGCGATGGCCTCCAGCCTAGTAGCATCCTTGTTCCTAGTCGCAATGGCCTCCTACCTAATAGCGATGGCCTCCAGCCTAGTAGCGTCCATTTGGCTCTCCAAAAAAGAAAACACTTATTGTGTGGTGTTCATGTTGGTGCGTAATACCACGATGGACCTGGCTGTTTGTGCCATTGCCATGTCTACGGGTTCACCGCTTTTTTTAAGATGCGCGCTGACAAAGGACAGCCAACCAATGCACGTCCAAAGACCTGGCGTAAATGGGGAAAAAAAGGCGGCAGCAACAACAACAACAACTGCCAGTCCCAATCAGTCAGTGCTGCCGAGGGCCCTGCCCAGCTTGCTTTTACAAACGTGCATTGGCAACTGGGCTTGTCTGAGAAAAGGCACGGGCGTCTGGTTCCTGAAAGCAACAACTTGACTTCATTGTCAAGTTGATGAGCCCTTCTCGCGAGTCCAGTCCAAGCCGCCACTTTGCAGGCGCTCGGCCTGCTTCCCGCTGAGGAAAGAAGCATCGAATGCATCGATCGGAGAGATGCTTGGCCCAAATGTTGACTCGGAGCAGAAGGCTGTGCAGCTACTCTCGAGGTGCAAAGCCCTACTGCTTCGAGACCATTAGGGACTAGGAGATGATGTGAAGATTCCCAGTTCTGCAATGCAAGCAGAACCATGAAAAGCAAGAAGGACATGAAACACACAACAGAAATGATGATCAAATTCTGTGAATGGTATAGACGGACGAGTCAAAGCCACACAACGGCTTTCGCTCTATTTGGCAGGGTGCTCTGCACGTGCACCCTGCCCTGGACACCCGCCAGGGATTGCAAATGAAGCTATAGTGACAAAGGGCATCGCTACTAGGAGCAAGAAGTTATTAGGAGCTCCTTGCATTACTAGGAAGAAGGACGCTACTAGTAACAAGAAGCGTTATCAGCCGTAATATGCTTTAATGATGTTAATGCTCTCGGAGTTGCCTTTGCCTTCCCAGCGAGGATTCCGCCATGCAGTGAATTCGGGCAATAAGAATCTACAGCAAACTATCCTTGGAAAAGCCATGAGTCAATGAGCATCTATTTGCTCATGTTTGTTTTCTAAGGACCTACCAAAGCAGACCTGGCTTCCTTGCGGTCCATGTGAAGGTGCACAGACAAGTCTGTAACAAGATGTCAAGATGCTTCCTGTCTTCTAGTTTAGCCTTGACCAATCTCACTGCTACGAGTACCACCAGAGGGAATGCATCTTGGCAGGCAAGCTGCAGACAGACGGTCAGGCAACTGAATTGTGTTCACTCAAATGCTTGTGACCTTAGCCAGCATCATGTCAAAACAACAGAAGCAAGTGCTTTGGCCCAATCCTTGCTAGCATGTTATATATATATATATGAGTTTATGCTGGAGTCGTCACAAACAGTACCCCTCTCCGTTCAGTGTGCTTTGCTGAGGACCAGCTACAGTAGGTGGCCTGCAAAAAAGGTCGTGCAACAACTGCAAACCCCGCTGCAATTCCAAGATGTCCAAGCATTTTGACTTGAATCTCTTCCTTCTGTGATCAGCAAACGATTACCCCTTGGACTGTCCTTGGCGCTCGGCTAGGTGGAGGCCCCAACGGCGCCGTCCCTGCGCAGTCGCAGCGATGTCTCCAAGACGTTTTTCAAGCAAAACAGCTCCGGGTTTATCACACGAGCAACGCAAATGCATCAATCGATGTTCTATCCACTTCTGCAACTAGTCAGCGAAACGTGTCAGCTGGTATCCCGAAGATCTTCAAGCAGTGAAACTCACGCAAACCAATGGGCAGAATCTCCTTGTGGCAGGAAGCCACGGGCAGATAACCACTCTTTGTCGCGGGCGACCTCAAGTCGCCACATTCACCGTGGATGACAAGTCCGCTGCTTCGCTGGCTTAGCTCTGCACGATTTCTGGATGAAGCCGAGCACACTCGGCATAGACCCTGTCCTCAAGAATGCAAACTCTGTGAAGTTCTGTTCTTTGACACTATTCGATCCTGTTGATACATGGATACCGTTGATTCGTCTCCGACCGTCTCCTTCAAGGCGCGCTTTGAGGGTTCAAAGTGGTCGAAATCTGCATGGCGAGCACGATTTCAAATGTCCAATTTGGATGTACGACTGCAAAACGACGCAAAGGTCTGACAACAATTCTGAGAAATTGGCCCCATGCAAATGGTCTGGGTGCAGTGGACTCCCCTGCCGGATCATGCAAGTGCGCTAAGTACCTGCCAAAAGGATCGTCAGCTTCAAGCATATTAAAGCTGCCTCGTGAAACACGGATGATGAACGCGCACGGATGATCCAGGGCAGCTAACCTGGGGGCGATTGAAACACACATCGCTGTCAAGCAGTAACTTGCGATGAGCATCCAATCCACAAACAAGCCCGCCCCGTCTCACACTGTTTGTTCTGCGGGTCAGGTTTCGTGTCTCCATTCTTCATGCAGTGTGTGAACCATCACGTCATGGATCCGCGCCCTAGATGCGATCACATTGGTTTTGACACGGTCTTTGCATCTCAATCCGTCACTCTCTTTGCACGCAGCCGATGTGAGTAAGGTAAGGGATGGATATTTTTTCCGGGAATTGTTTTCAGATTTTTCCGGATTTTTTTCACGTTTTTTCCCCTACTGTTTTTGCTTTTGCTTCTGCTGGGAGTGCTTTACAAGCACTAGGAGCAGCAGAAAGGGCAGGGGACGAAGCACCAAAGCCAGCGTGACAGTGACAAAGGGAGGGAACAGAAAAGGTATTCCACTTACTAGGGGCTTCTTTGCGGTTGTCTTTAGCTTCACTCACTGGTTTCGGGTTTCTTTGGGCTCGGTTTCTTGTCTTTAGGGTTTCTTTAGGCGTTCTTCCGGAAAAGGCATCCCACTTAACGAAGGAGAAGTAGGAGGAGAGAGGAACTATAATAGGGACTTTTCTGCGGTCTTTGGGCTTCAGTGGCTTCGGGTTTCTTTGGGCTAAGCAAAGTAGAAATCCACCTTTGTGGCAGCGTCAACGTAAAGAATATAGTAGTTGTGGTAACTGTGGTAATACTCGTAGCGGGGTGGTCCGAGTGATAGAGGTATTGGAAATAGTAGGGGTGGTGGACGGTAGTGGCAACTGTTAAAAAAGCGGGAGGGGGTGCGGGGGAGGGCGCAGCGCCTCCCCCCGCAATGCAAATCAAATATAGACAGCGCTGGGCTGCTTCGTTTCTTGATTGGTGTAATTGGGTGTCAAAGCTCAAGGTGAAGGTCTTATCATCCAACTTTGTGGCAGTGTCAATGCAAAGAAGATAGTCAGCAGAAGCAACAGCAGAAGCAAAAGCAAAGGCAGAAGCAAAAAGCAAAAGCAGAAGGAAAAGCAAAAAGAAAAAGCAAAAGCAAAAGCAAATGCAGAAGCAAAGGCCAAAAGCAAAAAGCAAAAGCAGAAGCAAAAGCAGAAGCAAAAAGCAGAAGCAAAAGCAAAAACAAAAAGCAAAAGCAGTAGGGGAAAAAAAAACGCAAAAAAAAATCCGGAAAAAACAATGCAAAAACATCCCGGAAAAATAGGGGTTCCAAAGTAAGCCCTGTCGTTTTGCTACAAGTGAACGTTCATGATTCATGGGGGTGAGTACAAATGTTTCAAACATTCTAGGGACAAACATAGTCCAACAAGGAATTTGCATGAACTTTATAAGCGAGTTTAACACCCCACAAAAGGTGGACGTGGCCACAATGCTTTGAACAGGCAGCATGAAGTAGCAACGCTGAAAACTCTGAATATGTCACTGGCCCCAAAAGGCCTAAACTTGGAACTCAACTCAGAATGTTCAAAGCGCCAACGCCACACTGCACTCGCAAGAACAAGTTTGATTGGAGGTTCGTCGACGCCTTTGCGTGTTTAGATTCTACGTAATTCTACACAACATGACCAATGAGGAGCCGACGCTGTGATCCGTCTTGTTGGAATCTTGTCTAAGAACTTGTTCAACAAGTCTAAGCAATCCTGAGAGCAAATACTCTGCATTCAAATCAGCATGTCAGCCACTGGTACTTCTTGACTTGTAAGCCCAACATGAGATCAAAACACGCCGCAAGCAGAATTGTATCATGGAAACATATATGTAAATCTAAGCCAACCCATATCGTTGAATCTCAGCAGAATTCCTTCTCTGCGACAATCCCGCCTCCGATGCCTTTGGCAGGCGTTCCTGTCAGTCCAGGGACTAAACAACTCTTTGGTAAGGAGAACAAGACAACTGCACATTGGCGCCTATGTGGTTATGTGGTCAGTCTGTGGGCCCAAAAAGAAACACACGCAATTGAATGCACCACTCCAGCTCAGCCCATTTCCAGTCCGCCTAGTGGTTTGCGCCATGCCACCACTCCACGCCTCTAAGGAAGATGATGCCTTTGGCTCCTCGGGGAGCTTCAGTGTTCGCACCATTCCCTGAACCTCACGAACAAAGCCATCCGATTTCTCGGCAAGTTTGCACGAAGACTTGCTCAAAGGGCAGCAAACAGCAGCAGAATAGGTCCTTACTGCTGGGGCGGCAGACTCTCGGCCCCGCCTGTGCCATGTCCTTTTCTGGAACCCAGCCAAGGTCGTTCTCCATGGAGAAACTGACGGAGATGTTTAAACGCGTGCAACATCAAAGTAGTTGCTTCCACAAACATACTACTTAAACGTCTCAACTTTGAAGAGAAACGCCACTCAGGTCATGACCCTAAAGTAGCAGCGATGCGTTTGAGCATGTCCAAGTGATCTTTGCCCGGGAAAAGCACCTCTCAGCTGAATTATGTTCTTTCAGTTCCTTCAGTTCCTTCTGTCCCTGGCCAGTGTCTGTGTCCTAACCTCTCTGGCCATGAGCTCGAAGTGGATGCATCCCACGGACCAAAGATCCACCGCCTGACGTTGGAGCTCTGGTGACCCAACAAAAATGGTTGGAGATCCAAAAACAGACATTGGTCCTATTCACCGAATTAAGATCTAAGATGATCTAAGGATCCAAGACTATCTAGCAATCTCTCCGAGCCCCAAATGCGTGGAGTCCACTCGCACGATCGAAATGGAGGGAGATGGGCGGAGAGCTCAAGCGCCGGGAGTGCCCCAAGAGCTGCCTCGAAGTATCCACAAGGAAGGAGCCTTGGTCAAGAAATCGCTCGAGAGGACGTCTAGTCTCACATTGAAAAAATAAAGCACTTCATGCATCTTCATGCTATCATTTGGGTATCGCCATACATGGTGGCAGCAATGCCCCTGCGTGGTTCCAAATAAAGCTGAGGCTGCAACATCAGTTCAGGAGCGCGGTACCAACGAGTCACGACATAGTCAGTGAGTTCTTCCTCACAGCTGGCTGATCAGTCCAGCAGTAAGAAAACAATTGTGTGCCTACACCGGCAACAAACAGGGGTCGATCCCACTGATGCCGTTGACGTATTCAATAGCAGTTTATAGTTGCAGTTTCTTACAGCTTGGAGATGCCGACCAGTCACGGACCTATGTATACGAGCCCAAAGTGGCATCATATATGATTGTTGCGGGTCAAACCTCTCTTTCCATACGGTCACCCCGTGTACCAGCTGTAAGCGTGAGCCTGCATGAAGGTTTATCTTGAACATACGGATGCCGTGCCAGCGTGCTGCTTCGGGAGTGACCAAGCCAGAGAAACTGATGCTAGGAGCCCCTAGTAGCTTCTTGTTCCTAGTAGCGATGCCAGGAGCCCCTAGTAGCGTCCTTGCTCCTATAAGGCCCAGACGTCAGAGTTGGAGCGCCCTCTGGCCAGGCCAAAGTCTGCAATCCTCAAAGCACAGTCCTCTTGGCAGGCGTGTGAAAAAGAGAGAAAAATAACTTTGGGTGGGTGAATAGTGAATAGGGCAAGGCATCAGCAGGTCATCATATGTCATGTGTCCCCCAAGTTTTTAAAACCCACCAGTTTCACGGAGATGTTCACCATCCGAGTCAACCAAACCGATCTGACATGCTTGATGACCCGGTCTGACTTCGGTGACTTCGGAAGTCATTCTGCGCTGCACAACAGGGCCGTCCTTGTTCACCAGGATGTTGCTCGGCTTCAGGTCGCGGTGAGCAACTCCGGCAGAATGAAGGTACTGGGTCTTCGTCGCTGGCGCAAGTGCCAATCAAGCTGAAGGTACTGGGTGTTCATCCATGGTACGTCCCCCAAACTAGAAGGGCAAAAGCAATCGCAACTCATGTGAGCCTATTCAAGCCTCCAAACATATTGGGTTGTAGTTACAATTGACATGTTTTCTTCCTGGCACTGTTCAAATGGGTCCTTGTTTCAATATAATTCAATTGCACATGAAATTCTCACAATACTTCCACCCTTTGACATGCCCATGCCGCCCAGCTCCTTCAATCCTCGAAGGATCTGACACACGAAGGCCTGGCATTCGGTCGTCACTTGCCCCAGGCAAACTGATCACAGCATGGCTGACACCAACATGGCCTGGCAATGAGACTCCGAAAGTTTCATCTTGGAGTAGATAACCTCAGGCTTTCATAATCCCAATTGCACCATGAAGGGCACGTCGGAGATCATGTGTTTCCTGTTATATTATAAAATATTATATACTTTATGTAAGTATTGAAGTGCAGGGTCGTAGGCCCTGAGGCTTGGAATACACCTCAGAGACAAATGCACTGCTACAAGTTCCTCTTCTCGGTTTCATGCCCGGTGCAGGTCCAAGTGCAGGTAGGGCCTTGGCCAAAAGCAACATGCACAATTGACATCTATAATCATGTGAGGACTCACTCCTGATGATGGTTCCTTCATCACAATTCAGAAAGCTTCAACTTGACCCTGTCAAACTCACCCAAGTTGCCGCACCGCGGCCATTGCTAGTAGCTGGGGCGGCCGCATGACGATGTAGACGTCGTCGAAGTCCGGATCCGGCACCGCCGGGAGATCCAGCAGCTGGCGCGGCACCGGTGCGGCGCCAGGCACCGGAAAGAGTTTTCTGTCGGAACTTCGGTTCAACATCCTGTTGGATCGTGAATTCCTTCCGGTTCCTGAATGTTTTGACAGCAAACAAGGAAAAATCCTGACCTAACAATCTTGAAGCCAAAACGTGTTTAATTAGAACGTCATGACTGTGATGGTTGCTGTGGATATTACACTCCAAAATCATTCAAGGTCTCTTTTTATTGTCACCGGAGTGACCGACTGTTCAGGCGTTCCGATCCCCAAGAAGAGGAAAACGGATTCAGAAGAGACCGCCTCTTGACATGGCCCGTTCCAAAACAAAAACGCACGTAACGTTCGAAGTCATGGCACCCGCAAAAGATTCTCATGGCGAAGGGCCGCCAAAAGTCGGATCCTTAGAAGCGATCCGTCGCATGAGGCATGTTCAATCACTGTGCCTGGCATGCGAGTTCTGCCTGGCATGAGGCATCATGTTTGTTCCAAGCAACAGACGTTAATATCAAGACGCACGAATCCAGAATCGCAATTGCAATGTCAAGGTGGGTGAAACGGGCCTTGTCTTTCAATCTATTCCATCCCTTCTTTTTCCAAAAATACTTTTGGACGCATCAAGAGCACGAAGCACGCCTGCTGAACAGTCGACTGGCAGTTGGGGCCCCCACTCCCGGAGAATCCTCTTGCCACAAAGAGGGTCCTGACAGCTCCACACTGCCAAGTTAGTTGTACGTTTGAGATCTTCGAACAAAGACGAAACGAAACCCCGCGCAGTCCTGGGTAAAGTTGCGAATCCACTTCACAGCAACCTTTTTCAGCACAAAAACAACAAGCCAAAAATTCAAAGGACATAAAGACCTACTCCACTATGCTGGCCTGCGATCCATTTCTGGAATCTTCACATAGATAGACCTGTCCGAGGATGAAAGCAACATGAAATGCGAAGGTGCACGCAGGGTCCAGGTGGTTCTTCAGCCTTTGCATCCGACTTCCCTCAAAGTTTCTTTGGTGTCTTTCTTGCCTCTCCGTAAGCTCCGCTTCCCAGCTTCTGAATTGCAGTCCTTCAGTCGCGAGAAAATTTCCTCATGAGGTTGGGGATGCTCTGGCCACCAACACAAATGTATCTTATTTTTCTTGGTCATGGGTGCAGGATTTTGTGACCCTACGACATGAGCCTGGGGGGACCTTGATTCGCGGTCTTTTTCTCACACCTATAGCCAGTCTTGGCTGCGCGGGACGTCCAGGAAGGTTTCTGGAACCCGACCCAACTTGTTTGTTCTTGCGTGCGCATGCGTAGACTTGTCTTGGAAGCACCGTGTCGACGCGTGTGTGCCTGTAGCATCCTGGAAGGACTTCCAACAGCATGTTATTCTTATCCTAGCCGTGGACCCACTCACCGCTCCTACGCACCCCTACCCGATGACAGCGTTGTGGCGATGACAATCTTGTGAAATCGATGACAATTAATGCTATGAGAAACTGATGAAGACAATCGAGCATGTTTTGCTGAGTAGCACAAAACACTGCGTACAGTTGCATATTTGCCATGTGAACGTGGTATATAGAATAGTGGGGAGAGCATTCAGAATAGTTTTCGATCTACAATCGGTCCCAGTGACAAAGACAAAGAGTTGGAAAAAAAATGGTGAAGTTGTTTGCTCTCAAGCAGCTCTGAGGATGAAGCAGGTGCGATGGGAGTTCAAACCCCTTGCGTTCCTGTCCGGCAAAAACATAACAAAACTTCAATGTTCAAAACTAACTCATCCCCTTCTTCGCTGTTGCAAAACTGCCTCTGACTGGGCGCTTGCCCTCAGCATCGAGAGATTTGTCGAGTGAACGTAAAGGGGGTTCTTCATGTTTCTTCTACGGCCCGCACTCGCCCATTCGGCGACGCCTCAGCACCACTCAAATGAAAAGCCTTCCAACCCAAAGGGCAAAGTTTCTCATCTTTTGAAGCTGCAAGTTTTCACTGAGGATGCGACGCCTCTGTACTGGTAGGCTTCTCACTCCGCCCACCAACTAGAATTATCACTGCTTTGCGAGCACGGCAGCGGATTGCAGGCAAATCGCTGCAAAAACCAAAGTTACTCTGACAAACCTCAAACAGAGTATCATTATCCAACACCCAAGCGCGCAAGACCCTAGCTTGCTACACCCCAACTTGCTGGAACAAACCCTTGCTGCACAACACAAGGGTCTTACACAACTTGCACAACGCTTGTCACATGAGCACGCACTTCGCCTCCAGCTTCTGCACGGAAGGAGGATTCACACTGATTGGCAAGCGCTCACCCTAGTCAAGAAGGAATTGCAACACGCCGTATAATATGGGTATGTCTCGCAATGTCTTGTCCGTCTACTAGTAGTATTTACTGCGGTTACCCATCTCTGTACATACATACATACATACATACATACATGGCTCAAGGCCACAAGTGCTCAAGCTGGTGCCCGCAAGAAAACCAGCTAGTGCGGAGCCCACTTTTACCACGTGTGCATTGCGGGTTTCAAGGGCAACACCGCCTCTGCCTTCATCCCTGGCACTGGACTTTGCCCGCAATAGCGAGGGACAAGATCTTTGGTGCCTCTACTAGGTGAACTACCTCCTCGTCACCTCAACCTGCGGGATATCCTGATCTCAACTGGCGCTACTCCTTTGCCGGTCTCTCTGGCCAGTTCGCGGAGGGTGGCCTGGTCTGTGCCTTATTCCTTAGCACCGTAGAGACCACTGAGGCTCGCCGCGTCAGGTACGATGACACCTTCCAAGACACCACCCTGGTGCAGAAGCTATGTGGTATGCAGCCAAGCTCAGTGCACCAACTGGATCTGGCAGGACAAGCTCAGACCTGATAGTCCCGGGTTGCGGACATACTTTCCCACCCAGCTCTCAACCAGTCCGGCTACTCCGGAAAGAGATGCACACAGCAGCCAGCATCCGCCTCAGCTCCCCACGGCTCCCAGATCGGAGCCCAGCATCCTCAGGCCAAGACCTTTGTTTCCTGCTGAAAATGCAGCGCATGAAGAGCCACAGGATGCGGCTTACCACGTGGACTTCTTCTAGATGCAGCGCGGTGGCGGCTGGCAGCACGGGTGAACAACACCCTCTGTGAAGCAGATGCAAAAAAGTCCCTCCCTAGAAAAAATTATACATACATACTGCGGAACTGGTAGCAAAGCAGGGCGTCAACCAACAAAGGAAAATGCTCCTCAACCTCCAATCCAACAACCGACGAAAGGAATCCGCCGCACCGCTCAACGTTTCTCCTCCATGCGATATCCGTCATACGGCATCAAGGGCCCTGTGGCCCAAAGGATCGCGGATACAATCATCAAAGACATGTCATGAACATGCAAGGCATGACTGGTTTTCACACGCCCTCTATCCAAGAGGATATGGACCACTTGAGGGAACTGCCACAGCTTAGGCTACCTTATTGGCGACTGTGCGAAGGGTGCGTTTGAACCCGGCTGAGCTGGATCCAGCATCAAATTTCACACGGCTCAAAAAGTATGCGAAATCAACAGCATGTGTATAATTCTGAGTTTTCTTGCTCTTCACATTCGGACCGTACGAGTCCAAGATGAATTTGGCGTAAGCCAACAGCTCAGAATCTGACTTTGCCCTGCAACGAATTCACCATAGGTGAGGTTCATATGAGCAATCTTTGGCAGCTTGATCTCTGTAGCGGACCACTCCAAAGCTGTGTTCACTTCAGCTGGCAGCGGCACATTGAAATCTTCTTCTTGCCAAGTGACATTGAGCATCTCACCTTCAAATGGATTCATCTTCGAGCCACGGCTTTTGCGAGTTCCAGCATAGGTGTCCTCTGGCGGCACATAGCCAAGGCGTCCGGAGGTCGGAGACAGCATTCCGGCGCTTGCAAACTCAAGCATGGCCATTGGTCAGGGCTCTCACCACGAAGGCGCTTGGGAGCATCCGTCATGGATCCACAAGGCGCTTCCTCAAGGTTGCTCAAGAAGGTCTGGGAGGCTACCGCAAGGGACTTGCTGCCACTGGAAACAGCGATGGCCTTCACAATCAGCTGCTGCTGAACAGCCCTTCGGAGGAGACCGGCAGCAAGGCTCACTTCTCCTTCTTTCAAGGGACCGGATCCATCGGCTTCATGCTGCATCTTACGGATCTGCTTGGACTCCATATCACTGTGGACAGGAGGTGGCAGGTCTACCAGTTCCCGAACTCGATGCGAAAAAGGCTCGGACAATCCTGATGTTATCTATACAAAATGGCTGGTTGGCAAAAACATACGACGAATCCCTTCCAAGAACTATACACTATACAACTTAACGCTGTCTTATGGCAAGACCTTATCACACAGTTTTCACTGAAAGGCTATTCCCTAAAAGACGAAGTGCTGGCAGCATATGGAAAAAGGACTCACGCTTTGTCGTCGGAACCCATCTCAGTCTTCTCGCGACGGCCGGAGACCTTGCAAACCGCAATCTGGTAGATACCTCTTTCGAGGATTTCATACAATAACTTTGTTTCACCCTTCAGCTTGGTGAGGCAATCGGCAGCCATTCTCAAGTTGTTGACCCAAAAACCAGTGATGTTTTGCTTCAACATGGTCTCCTTTGCTATGGCATAGTCTATTTGTAATCTACGCTCAACCGAAACAGCCTGGGAACAGCAACTTCGGGCGATGGCATCGTAAAAACCTTTGGAATCAATTACAAGCGCAGCTTCATGTTTTGGGGTCATCTCTCTGAATTGTTTGGGGGCTATCCCGTGAAGAGTTTCCTCCAACAAGGCCTGAAACAGCTCGGTGGCATCTAACCCATTCTGGCCAGCTAAGGTCTCGGCGGCTACGGACGATCGAACCATGCGTTTCATCTTTTTGGACGACCAATCAACAAGCCAACATCTAGCTCTTTCGCGTTTGAGCATCTTCGACTCTGCTAGCAGCAATAAGTATCCACCCTGACTATCTCCGTTTTCACGCGTGGCCCATCCAGCGTCGGAGATGCAAATCAATCGCCAATCTTCAACCGGGACGGTGCTGGGAAACCTCAAACAAACTTTATGTTCTTTCATTTCTCTGATCCCCTTATTATACAAATGCACATGCGAAACCAATCCTTTGTCCTGGACCCCTTGCAAGTAGGAGGCTAAAAATGCTTGGTCTGGGCGAGTGGAGCTTGTCACCCATGCTAGTTGACCAGCACATGTCCTCAAGAGGGATTTGTCCGGGAGTGGCGCGCTTGCTACACCCAGAGGCTTTGTCTGCACACATTCCAACGCATCGATGTATGCTTCCTGACCGATGTCGATTTCGAAAGTGGCAGGGTTCTGTCGGATTTCTATGCCAGTGTACCGGATGATATAAGCGCGATAATCCCCAAATGGTAACTTAGCGCGAAGTTTTGTCAACACAGCATCCATGGCTTGAGTACCCCCTCCGAGGATATCATCAACATGAATATACCGCAAACACCGCAAAGCTGGTTCTTTATACGAAGTGTGAACAGGCGTGGATCTAGCTGGCTTTGTTGCAGACCGGCCTCACGCATTTCACGGCTCAATCGAAGGAACCAAGCTCTGGGAGCTTCTGCCAAACCATATGCCGCCTTTTCTAGGCGAAAGAGATCATCACTCCTCAAACCTAACCATTCCTTAAGCTCAGTTGGGGGCTTGAAGTAAATATCCCGCGATGACTTATCCCCTGAAAGGAAAGCTGTTTTGATGTCAGCTCCAAACACTCTCCAATGCTTAGCGCTACAGATGGCAAGGACTAGATGCTTCGTCTCCTTACGAAGGGTCGGACTATCGGTAGCTATCCTACCCAACTCGGGATCTTGCCATCCAATCAAAACCAACCTAGCTTTGGGAACCTTGGTACGGTCATCGGGATCTGAACTTTTCTTCCACGTAAGCACCCATCTAGCTCGGATGATGCGGTCGGGTGATATTCCTTTACTCTTACAGAGTGATGTGACTTTGTTATCAACCCAAGATTGACACTCTTTTTGCATGGCCTTTTGGAAGAGCTCTTGATCCTTAGGGGACAACCTCCTATAGCTAATTTCGACTCGGCGAAGCTTGGCCTTCGGAGTTGAAACCAAGAGACATTCTTCAAGCACTTGCCACAAACACAGTGGGTTCCCGGTGATGTCATCACGACAGATGTTCATGGAAACCTCAAGGACTCTCGGAAAGCTTACACTTTTGTTCACCTATATCAACAAGCAATTCATCATCACTTGCAACAGGGATGGGAACATCAGCTGCTTGGTTCAGGCGATCTTCTGCTTCCGAGGGCGCGAGATCAGTGGCAGGTTCGGCTTGCATTGACTGGCTATCCGGAGCATGAGGTTCATTTAATGCTTCGGGCAAGGACAGTTCAGGCACCTCAGGCTCAGGAGGAAGTGCCTCTGGAGCTTGCGACGGAGAGTATTCTTCCATATCGACTGCGGGAGGACTCATTTCCTGATCTATGACTTGTTCAGGTTCACTCTCTTCAGGAATTTGATCCAGCACTATCCGACGCTTGCTTGGAGGCTCGCCCTCATGAGTCATGGACGATTGCGCACCAGGTCCAATTCGAACGGGCATGGACCCTTCGTGCATGGTACCTAGGGGTGGTGCTCCTTCGGACCTACGTTTCCAATATTCAGGCGAACGATAGAATCTCCTACGAACCTTACGGGGACCTCCTTCATCTTCCTCTTCCTGGTCCTCGATACCTGGTGGTTCGGGTTCTTGCATGACATCATCTTCAAGTTCATGATCCGAATCTTGGGGAAGGTCTTCCGATACGTCCTGATACTGAGGGGCCCTGTTGGTGATGCCTTGCTCAGCTTGTTCAACATCAGGCGCAAGGCGACCCAATGAAAGTTCCCTAGCTAGTTCTCGAAACTGCTGTTCATCGGCCGGAACTGGCCGAAGACCCTCTGGAGAACACTTACAATCTTACCCAGTCCATACCACACCCCATGGCGTGTGGAGAGAAGGCCTCTCGCACGCTTCCTAAAGAAGTACACCAATTGGCCACTTTGGTATGGTCCTCTCATGGGGCGATTTCTGGCAGCAAGTGCTCGACGCCACGTGTCCTTGGAATGTTCCTCATGGAAGGCTTTGGCGGCAGCTTCTCTAAGCTTAACTTGGGGTGCAAACACTGGATCTGCAAGGACTTGTGATTGTACAGGATAGTTTTGTTGACCTTCAACAGTGTGGAGCATGGCTGAATTGGTGACATCCTGACCCAAAAACCATTGACTGGGGCTGAATCCATGCTTTCTCAACTGTTGATTACGAATGCTGGCACATGTTTCTATGATTTCCTCGGGTGGTCCATCGGTGTCTTGCCACACCTTCTGAGCCATTCCTCTCAGGGCACGATTCGCAATCTCTACACGGCCGAGTTGCCAATGACTTTCTGTGGCACAGTGCAAGAGCTGAATGCTATGTCTTAGCAAGTAATCTTGCAAATCGGCTGACAAAGTTCCACCTGCAGGGTCGGTGTAAAGAATCTTGGGGGCTCGAAACGGTCGGGTCCATACTTCATGAAAGGCTCGGGACAGTGGGGTACCCTTATGAACTATGATTTGCTGTGCAAAATCCGTGGCAAGATCTACACACGTCAACACATTGAACTTAACTTCTTCAAGTACTCCCCTATCATTGGTGTGTCTCAATTCGACCTGCGCATAGTCAGCTCCGACAATCTGATTCGGTGCTTCAGCGTGCGGGATCGCTGACTGGCGATGAGACGCAGGGACCTTATGATCTTCACAAATGGCACATTTGAAGTTCTTTATGGCCAGTTTGACCTCTTGGGAGACTTGACAACGGTTTGCCAAACGCAACATTTAATTTGTTCATTGAAGCGTGACCTGTATTCACATGTAGTTTTCGAATCATGGCTTGAATGCGTTGTTGCGCAACTGGCAAATCTACAGCTTGCTGGTCTTGCGGCTCATCATCCAATTCTGCAAAAACGTCGTGCTCAGCAACGTGGCAATGCTCTTGCGAGCAGAGAACTTCGGCAATCACTCGGCGCATCTTGCGAGGATATGTCTCAGCATATGATGTCAATGGCTTACCTTTATAACTACCCTCCAGACGCGCATGACTATGCTTGTGATCACAACGACAGGTATGAAGTCTATTGGCCAAAGGTTCAAATGAGGTGACTATCCTGGCGGGTTTGAGGACAGGCGAATTTGTCTTTGGACATCGAAGACCTACACTGCATTGATTGGTCAATGCGAACATCAAAGGCTTGGGCGAGCCGGAACTCTTTCCATGCATCAGATGTGAGTGGATTCTCGACATGTGTGTGTGCTCCAAGTGACTGCTGGAAGCTCCAGATTTCAGGCACAAGCGACAGGTAGCGTCGTGCATGACGCCTACAATCCTCCACCTGTTGACAAAGCTCGGAATCCCTCGACATGTTCATACGGCTCCATGGTCCCCAACAACCACATGGGAAACTTATCCAAACATGTTGTGGTCGGCAGAAGGCTATCAAGAGCATCAGTTTCCAACGTTGTTCATGAAGACTGAGGTCTTGACCATGGTCTAGGCCGATGCGAAGGCTGTTACCCCCCAACTTTTCAACATAAGTGGACAATGGCGCTTGTCCTGTGAAGACTTCAATCATGTGCACCGGCTGGTGCAGCTTGTGGGCCTGATTGGTGCCCAACCATTCACTTAATTCTGCTGTCACGCTAGCTCGGTCAGTTTGAAGTCTCGACAAAATGAACTGTGCATATGTTTTTCTCATAGACTGAATGCTGTTTAGTATATGCTGTTGTTCATACGGCTGCATAGTAGACATATGAAGGTTGTTCCAATCACAATCTTCCCCATATAAGGCCTCAGCATCAACTTCATACATGGTTTCTTCTTGGGGGTTATCAGCCGTATGGTCAAGTTCATCGCCCTCTGAATCACACTCCCGACAGCAAAAACAGTGATGGTCGCGGTGACCTGCAGAGTGAACACTATCGGCGGCTTCAGCACAGTCAACGGGGATGTAAGCAAAGAGGCAAACGTTCACTTGAGTGACTTGTCGTCGAATCTCTCCTGGCAGACGCTGACTCCACGGGGATACAGTCAAGGTGCCATCAACAGTCAGGGAAGCTACGGATCTGTCATATGCTTGGACTCCGGCATCGGGTGGAATCCGTTCCAACC